TTAAAAATTTATTGATGATATTATAAATATCTATTTATTTAATATTATATTTATAATTGTAAATATATAATTTTAGTTGGTATTATAATTATAATATTACCAAAATAAAAATAATTAGATAAGATAACCACGTATGACATTAAGTGATAAATCTTTTTTTAATGGTTTATATATTTTCTTTATTTAATGATTTAAATGTTGTATAATTTAGTATTGTACTCTATGAACACTAGAGGTCGGCACAATTCAGTTTTGATTGTAATCAAAATTAAATTATTAGTTAATTAAAGTTCTAAATTTTAAATTTTAATAATCATGAATTAAATTGAAAAATACACATTTTATCGGTTTTGATTAGATTTTTAAAAATAATGATTTAGATCTATTTCAATTTTAATTGAAAAATTATTTTTATATTTTTTAATAATTTTTTATATTCTTATATTCTTTGATTATTATTTTATTAATTGCAATTATGAAAAAATAAAAATTATCTAAATAAATAATTTTGGTGAAATGTTATTAAGAAATTTTTAAAAATTTTAAAAATCATTAAAAATTTTATATAAAAGGTTTTTAGTCTAAATTTTTTATTTATACTCATCTTAATTATTGATTTTTTAATTTTTAGACTTAATAACTAAGACTTAAACCATTTAAAATTAGTTTGATTTAATTTTTAATCAAACAAGGTTAAAACCCAATTAAACCCTATTTATTAGTTACGATTTCATCAAATTTCAATTTTTTTTTTTGGTTATAAATTTTTTTGACCAACCTCGAATAAATACCCAACATTCTTTCAAAGGTAAAAAAAGAATTGGAAATGGTTTTATATGGTGTGCTTTCTATTTTATAATTTAATATAATTTAAATTATAAAATAATTTTTTTATATGGTCCGCACTTAACAACATTAGTTTGGGTTAAAAAAAAAAAAGAATCAAGAGGCATAAAATTTATAGGAAGAATTACTGTGTCATGCGGCAAATCAGCAACACAACAAAATGATAGACAGAGCGATCCTTAGTGCTAATTAATAATTATCAATCTGTCTCGGCATAATAAATTGATAGTAGCAGAAAATGTTCTGTCACCAATTTACCATGGCTGCACGCTAACAGTCACGATTTTTTCTTTTTTGGTATTTTTTTCTTTTATGCCTTAAAAATGTTCTGTTAAATATATTTTTTTTGTTCCTCTACGATTAAAAAAAGCTTTTTTTGTTTTTATATTGAAAAAAAAAAATTTAATCTCTAAAATTTAAAATTCGGCCCTTTTTTTATCCCTCCATTAAATTTTTATTGATCTGTCACCTTAATTAATGGAATGATTTAATTATTTTTTATATAAATAATATTATAAATGATGTAAATATTATATGGATAAAATTATAAATTCATGTAACATATTTTGGGCCAACGTGTATAAATTAAAATTTCTACTTCTTAATTCATAAATTAAATGAATTTAAACCGAAATTAACTTTAATTTCTTCATCTTCTTCTTTCTCCTCATCCTTATCCTCCTACTCATCCTCATCCCGCTGCTCATCATCATCCTCAACATCCTTCTTGCCATCCTCTTCATCATCTTGTTGGGTTCCTCACAGAACCCAGTTTCTGGGTCTTTTGAGGTTCCTAGAAACTGAGTTCTTCACGAAACTCAGAAAACGAGTTCTTTGAGGAACCCATATGGGTTCCTTGTGGAATCCAATTTCTTTGGTCTTTGAGGTTCGTTCCTCGCAAAATTGGGTTCTTCAAGAAACCTATATTTGGCTTTTGACCCTTTTTTTATTTTATTTTATTTTATTTTGAATGTAAGCCAAATGAAACCAAAATTTCATGTTTGGTTTTGAATTAGAGATGTTAAGTTCTAAGTTCATTAGGAAACCCAGATCGTGTTTGATATTTGGATTTGAAGCTAGAGGTGATAGGTTTATGTTGTTGTGCTTATGTTATCCACTTCATAACTTGGTTGAAAATCTGAAATCAGGTAAAGAGTAAGGAGAAGGATTTATTTTGATCAATCATTACCAATCTCACATGTAAAGTGTTAATTATGAACAAAAAATAAGAATTTTGAAAAAAGAAAGATGATATTTGGAGAGGGAACTGAAAAAAAATTGATTAGGGTTTTTTTTGCACGGGAAGAGTGACATGGAGGATGTTATTAAGTCCATGTAAGTGGCTTTACACGTGGAATATTCATGTCATACGTTTTTGTTAATTAATGTGACATATTAGTATTTTAGGGACAAAAAGAGGGATTTTTTTAGCACAAGGACCCAAAAAGAGCTTTTTTTAATAGTAGAGGGACAAAAAAAGAATTTAACCTTTATTTAATGGATGATCCATCCGTTTCACTACTAATATTTTATTGGGCAGTGATGTAAAAGTAATTTTTTTATATAATTTTTTATATTATTTTTACATATCATTAAATAAAAAAATGCATTTAATATTACAAGTTATAAATAAATAAAAAAAATCAATTATTCAAATAATATATAAGATTATATAAAAAAATAATAATAAATTATTCTTAAATCATTTTCTTTTTTATTGCAAATTGAAATTTTTTTTCTAAAAATTGCATAATACTTCAAATTTTTAAATGAAAAAATTGTATCGAATGAATTTTGTTGGTATTAGTTTGGTAAATTTTTGACAGAGAAACAATTATCAATAATAATAATAATAATAAAATGATATTAATAATAAAAAAAATCATTTCAAAATTTTGTGGCAACCATATAAATCACTTGTAGGGTAGCCATGCCCTGCCCTACCGCGGTGCCCACCCCTCCTTGGAGACTTGTACATTTGAGTAAGTGAACCTTATGTTTAGAAGATAAGAGGGGCCCTCTCCCACTTTGAAAGTGCAAATATAGCCTCTAAAGTCTAGACTAAACTAGGGAATCCACAAAAAGATCAAAGATGAGCATTCAGTAGTTAGGTGCCCTTCCTCGTTAAGTCAAAGATAAAGCATTGGGGACAAAGAGAATCAATGCTGGGCTTTTGACAGAATCAATTGGGGGCAAAGAGAACCAAACACCACCTTTCAATTGTACAACACAAGAAGACTACTTTAAAATATTTCAGTTGTAACAAATTAATCAAACGTAGAGATGAACAAAGACTAGTGCCAAAAATTAATTTAAATAATGGAAAAGTGATCTATACAATTATAGTATACCATATAGGTATATAACTTACAATTAGACCAAAAAGGTTACATCAAGGTGGAAAAGGGTCCTGCACCTCGTTAAGTTGCATGCTTTGAAATCTAAAGTTCAATTGTTACCCTTTTTTAAGTTGTTTGATGATTAACTAACAGGAAATAGACTTCTTTCCAAATCCCTCACCACTCATCTCAAAATTCAAACTTATCCTCCAACATTAAAAGTTCAAACTTTTAACTGCTGAAAAGTCTCGAGATTAACCAATTTTGTTTGTTAAATTCATAGATCTTGTAATTTAGTGGCTGTTGAGTAGCTCCCAGGAAGTTAGAAGGTAGATGCCCTCCTACCCTGGAACATAGGCCTCCCACGTTTTCGAGAGCAACTGTTGCGCTAACACAGTAACTTGTCTAGCCCTTCAAACAGGGCAAAAGGAAAAAGTTCAGATTGGAACGGTTTGGTTCAAAGATGAGCAATGAAATAGACTGAACCCAAATAGATAAGCAATGAAATAGACCGAACCCAAATAGATGGGCAATGAAAACCGATGAGGAACAAAAATTTCATTATCTATACCAAAGAGTAAAAGATTCAATTCCCAATCTCCCATGAAGAACAATGATATCAACTCATATTATAAACACATCCTTGTTCAGCTCACTGCTATATTCCTCTAGGCCAACACCTTCACATTAGCCATGTCTGACTTAACAAACACTATATGATTTCTTTTATCATATTAGTCATAAACCACTAGTTACATTTCTCCTAGCAACCATCAAACCATCCTACCAAGCTAAAGATATCAACACCCATCCATGTGCAAAAACAAACCCATACAGAGAAAACAGATAAATGGGATGAACAAGCATTTTCAGGTTCCAAACCATGTCTGAGTTGGCTAAGACATTCACCTACCACTGCAACCCTAAGGGTAACTGAAGCCCTCCCAAGTCCCAAGCAAAATATTAGTAACATTCAGTTCCTGCAACACACCAAAAAGAAGTCAGCAGGCAGAATACTTCAAGATTGGGTCTACATGATCCAAAATTCACACAAGTATCAAAAAAAAAAAAAAAAAAAAATCAAGACAAGATTATGCTAGGAAAAAATATTACCTTTGCATGAAACCAGTATGAAATTGCAGTGAATTAAGAACAGCAGCACTCTAGAAGCAATCATACTTTTACTAATTCAGTCTTGACCTAGTCCTTGCTCCAATCTTCTCACTGCCATCTTGCTTAGCAGCAACTTCTTCTTCAAGTTTCATTGCAATTCTTTCTGATGTGATTGTGACTTCCAGTGACTACAAAGAGAAAATTTGCAGAACATAAATGTATACAGCTACAATTAAGAATGAAACATCTAAAGTGCACAGCACAAGAAATAGTAATAAAAGAAGATATTGACCCCACAAAACAATATATCATTTGAAGGATAAAGGAAACTAAATTAGAAAGACCATTTCTAATTGACTTTAGCACAAATGTTTAAATGCCCATTCTCCAAGGCTGATAAAAATAAAAAATAACCATTATCCAAATGCACAATAGGAATAAAATGGCAAAACCCCCAAATCCACCCCTTAAATAGGGGGTAGGGACAAATCCGCCCCTCAAAAAAATGCAAGGACAAATTGCCCCTCCAAATTATAAATCAAAACAAATCACCCATTTTTTAATATGTCACGTCAAAATTCTGTTTGCCACGTAAGCATTTTTAACAGAAAGATGATGTCACACATTAAAAAATGGGGGATTTGTCTTGATTTATAATTTGCAGGTTTTTGAGGGGTGCATTTGTCCCTGCCCCCCGAGTTGAGGGGTGGATTTAGGGGTTCTGCCAGAATAAAATATGCAAAAGACGGTTTGATTAACCTTTTAGCATTTGCATGACTATATGTTCATCAAAACAATATCATTTCATTGCAGAGAACAGCTCAAAGGATATAAGAAGAAAAACATGTAAATATTTATGTGTTAAAGATACATGCAAGAACAAGTAACATGCTGAGGAGCATCTGCTAAGAACGTCATCTTACCTCATGGTGCTCACTAACTTGACAAACATTTTGCAAGTGTGCTCCTTGCACCATTCCAAGTTCCCTAGACTCATCATTTCCCCCATTTATGGCATTTGCAAGACCATATGTTCCTCCACCATGAGAAATCTCCTGCTCTTCTTCCCCCACAAATTCTGGCAATTGTTCTATATTTTCTAGCTCAGAGAAGCCATCACCATCAGTCTTTTTAGATGGCCCTCCTGGTGAATCTTTGAGGGAATCTTTCTCTTGCTTCCTTTTCTTGCTACTGTCCAACCTGTCTGCTAGCAATGGATCCACATATTCATGAGAAAGAGAGTGATCAAAACTTCTTTTCCTTGTGGCCTGAAGCCCTTCTTCAGAATCAGTGTAATTTTCCTCAATTTCAGATTCCAAATTTTGCATTCCTTTCAACACCTCACCTTCTCGGGGCACTTCCTCTATTACTTTCTGTTCTCTATTAGAGCTAGTTTGCTGCCTCCCATTTCCATTGTACTTGTTTCCACCAGATCCATTAGATGAATCTAACTTTCTAGCAGATATCAAAGGCCTTTCTTCATGCTGCATCTGGTGCTTTTCAGGGGAATGTTTGAATATCAATTCACTGCATCGTCTGATCCATGAGAAACGAGCAGTGTCAAGGGGAGAATGCCCAGCTGGTTGTGGTATTGGAGAGCTTCTGTTGCCATTGTCAGTAACAGTAAAATTAGGAGAAGCTCCAGCTGGTTCTGTCAAATTCCTTCGGGAAGAGATTTTTTTCTGGCTACGACGAAGGGGTGAATGCTGCACTTGAGCCACAGTCATATTATCCAAGGCAGCTTTCAAATCCCCCAATTTTCTCAGTTCTTCAATCTCAGCATTAATCCTTTGTCTATCAGCTCGCAACAACTCCCTCTGTTCTTGCAGTTTCTGCCTTTGCAAGTTAAGCTCCTCTATAGAATTATTTAGCTCAGCCCAGTCCCTTTCTCTTTGCTCACGATCTAATTTTATATTCATTCTCTCAGCATCAAGCCTTTTCATTTCTAAAGAAACATGTTCCAATTCTTTCTGTGCTGTTTCCTTGAGGCCATTGATATATTCAAGTTGATTTCTCTTTTCTTGCTCAAAAGCTTCCTCTCTTTCCCTCAGAGAATTCTCTAATTCATCACGCTTCTTCTCAATACAATTCTCAAGCTCTCTCTTTTGTGTCTCAATTCCCAACAAAAATTCTGCACGCTCTTGCTGAATCTTGCTAAGCCATTCAGAATGCTCATGAACCATTTTGTTCATGAAGTCTTCTCGCTCATGATTCAGTGACTCAACATCATGATAGTATTGCTCTCGCATTGCATCCCGCTCTCTTCTCAAGCTATCTCGCTCATCCTTGAGAAACTTGGAAATGGCTTCTCTCTCTTCAACAACACGTTCAGCTTCCTTCCGCAGCTCTTCTCTTTTTTCATCAATCAACTCCCACTCAGCTTCAAATTTTGTTTTCTCTACTTGCAGCTTGTCTACTTCAGCCATAAGTTCCAATTTATGACCCCTTATATGATCAAGTTCTTCTTTGAGTTTCAATTCTAGAACCGATAATTCCTTTGTGTCACTTCTCATGGCTTCTAGTTTCCCCTGTTCACAGTCTACTTGGTTCCTTCGGTCTTCCAGCAAAGACATTGATTTTTGAAGCTCTAGTTTCATTCTATTGATCTCTTGTTTTTCTCTTTCTATACAGGCTACCTTCAACTCAGCCTCCTTCTCAGAAGTACACAAACTTTTCTCTCTATCATCAAGAAGATTTGACCTCTCCACCACATCTTTCTCTGTATTTGCTAATATCCTTGATTGAATCTCCAACTCATGTTCCTTTTCACGAAGAATATCATCTCGCTGGCTAAGATCAATTTCCTTTAACTCATAAACCCGTCTCTTGGTTTCAATTTCATCTTCCATCATTTTGCGTTTAATCTCAAGTTCAGCTTCAAACTCTGTTTTTCTTGCTCTCAATGCAGTTTCTTGAGCAGCAATTACCTTTTGAATTTCAACCTACATTCAAAAAGTTTCCAATTATCATAGAGGAAAAAAAGCATTTCAAGTATTAGAAACACTACCAAGCAAAAATAACTCACAGATTCCCTTTTTGCAATCTTTTCTTGGCAAGCAAGTAGCTCTTGCTCTTTCTTTTCCAGCAAAGCTTCTCTTTCAACAACAGCCTGTATGCATTAAAAAGAGGAATTGCAAAAAAAGTAGTTTTCCAAGAAGTAAGAGGAAAAAGATACATGGCAATACATTAACATCAAAACTTTCATCCGCAAAATAAAATATACAAACCTCCTCTTTTTTCAACAATGAAGTGAAAGCAGAATCAAGTCTAGATTTCTCATCCTTCAACACTGTCCGTTCCTTTTCAATACTTTCTCTTGAAACCTCTAGCTCCTTTTCAAGCCGCTTTAGTTCTTCTGATCTACTAAAAATATATTCCTCTCTCTGATTCAGCGAAGCTTGTCCATCGAGCAGCCTTTCATGTTCTTGCTGCAAAATCTTCTTCCTCTCACTCAATGACTGCCTCTCAAGAATAATCTCCTTTTCTTTGGCATCACACCTAATGCAAGAAATAAAAATTAACACTCTTAGCAGCAATTTTTTCACTATCAAGTTAATACATTACAAGAGCCATTTTTAAGCAAAATCAAAAGTACTGCATAATTATCACATAATAGGAGTTATGATATCATTGTCAAGATGCAGTAATGCAGATAAGCACATTTTACATTTATATATGGATTATTATCAGGCAATATAAATACTATGATGCTACTGTTAATTGTTAATGAAATTTTTATCCTAGAATTCAATCAATTCATAATGCAAGACCCTTAAGAAATTACATTGCCATTCTTTCTCTCCTAATGCAGGCATGCAAGAATTTAGCATAGACACCTATGACAAACAAAAGAGAACTAGAATTAAGATTTCTTTTCAAGAAAAAAAGAATCCAAAAACTACACATCACTTCATCAGCAACAGATAAATATGAATGAAATATTGAAAAAAGATATGATTTTTTCAAAGAAGAAAAAAGCATATATTTCATCATACTCAGACTTAAAAGACATGATACGTCGGCTAAGATCCTCTTCACGTGCTTCAACTTCCTGCAGCTTTCTCTCAGCAGTACGGTGAAACCGGCTGGCCTCTCCTTGCAAAGATTCTGCCGAACGCAGCTTTACCTCAGCCTCTACAATCTTCTTCTGTGCATATTCCATCGTATTACGTGCCTCAGCCAATTTACTTTCAGCTGCAACCTTTGTTTCAGCAGATTCTGCACGCATCTCATGCAAGGTTTTCTCAATCTACAAGAATGAAAATATGAAATATACAATCATAAAAAAATAAAAATAAAAATGAAGAAAAAGGGAACTAGAAAGAAATTAAAAAACTCAAATTAAAAGGAATCCCAGCCAATGGTCTCACACTTGCTATGCATTCTTTCTCAACTCCTAAAGCCTTCTTCAAATTCTCCTCTCGCTTTTTTGCTTCAGTTAGAGCAGATAAATGTGCAGCCTGACCACTTTTTTGCACTATCTCAGCTGTTTCAGCAGAAGATTTAACTTGCTCATACTTGGAAGTCAACTCCTTTTTTTCTAATAAAAGAAGTCCCATATGGTGCTGGTAATCAAAGATCTTTGAGAAAAAAAAAAAGAGAGAGAGAGAGAAAATAAATAGTAGCCTCAAAAAGCGAGAAACAGAAAATTATACATGTAATTAACCCATTTTCAGGATTGGAATGAAAGAACTTGCACATTCCTAAAAAAGCGAGAAACAGAAAATTTCTAACGTTTATCCACAGAAACAAACTTCCATCCCCATTAAACTTCACACCAAAAATTAAGTATTTTTCAGCCTCTAGAACAGCATTGAAGTGAGTCCAAAATCTCAGCTGAATTTGAGATTAATTTCCAACATTGTACCCCAACATCAATTATTAAATTGGATACTCCATATATGGTTGCAAGTATTAAAACAAAAATTCTATATATGACTAATTAAAATCATTCCACCCGCTAGCACAATCCACATTTACATTCTCACTTACTAAAAATCCAAGCCCCACCTCAAAGCCATATCTAAGTAACAACAAAATCATAAAAAGTTACAGGAAAATAAAGAAACTTCCCATTTATCTTTATTTTACTAAATTTCAATTTATGTTCTCTGATAAGCTAAAATTGGACTAGGAAAAAGAGGGAAAAAAAAAAAAAGAGTTAGTCCATATAATAACTAAAACAAAAAAAATTTTGTCTATGATTCTAATTTCATGATTTTCTTTATGTCATCCAATTTACTAGTCGCCAAACAAACCCTCGTAGCTTTCCCTCAAAATTAAAAGAATCAGAAAATTATCGGAAGAAAAGAAGAGAAAAAAATCAGAAACAAAAGATAGCTTCGTAATTTAAACAGAAAAACCGAACCTCAGCTTCAAGCTTGGCAATATAGGCGATAAGAGCAGCCTTATCTCTCCTCTTGATCGATTCCTCGTCGAAGCCAGCCTCCTTGAGTCGCTTCCAGATGGTGTCATCAGTTAGAGGGGTCTCCAAAACCCTAGAACCCGGTGTTATCGACAGGGGCCGGTTGGCAGTCGGCGTGATCGGAGACGCCATCACCTACGCCGTCCGATCTCCCACACCAAAATTCGATTTTTTCTCGCCTTTTCTCGGCTGTTCTTGGCTTCTTACTGATCTTTTTGTTTGGCAAGGAGTGAAAGGAGTAAGTGAAATGTGAAGGCAGCAGGCGTTCTTGGCTCTTTGTAGCAGCAGAAGACTTTGGG